TACCATTATAATGTGATATGTGAGAATCATACAACAGCTCAAAATGGATGTAAAACAAAATTATCGGTATTAAACTGATCCAGTGTTTTGCAGAATCATCCAGTAGTTACATCTGTGTCCTGGAAAACTCACCTGAAAATGTCGAATTGGACCATGCTTCTCCATACTGATTATATCTTGTGCTTTGTTCTACTGGATGTTTCCCGTCGTGTTCCAAAGGCGTCTTCAGCTGCCTTTGACTCATTACATCTAGATTTAATTTGAAGTGACGCAAGATGTTTAAAGAGTATTCCTAAAAGAAACATTTATAAATGCCTCAAACTATCCCTCCAGGCATGTTTCACAGGTTATTTTCATTAAATGAGCATCTCCGGTCGCAGTCGGTCTTCAATACATTTGCATTTAATGCTGTTTGATTTGCACACTACTCCATTACCCAGTGAGAGCAGCTTAGTATGAAAGCTGTAGAATCGAGTGAAAAGTCATGACACTAAAGTGCATGCTCAAAGTAAAGCTTCATTTAATTAACCGACAAGTCTGACAGTTGCTATTTAACATGAATCACTTCCCTGATAGGTCTTGCAGAGTACGTGATGGGAAAAAAGGTTCTGTGCAGACATGTTGCGCTCATTTATAAAACACTCCAGACAGACGGGAGGGCGAAAACCACATTTTCTCTCGTCTGCCTCATCCACTTGTTGGACTGACTAATCTTAGAAGCTGACAGCTCGCAGTTCAGGATGGAGGTTTAACTGCGTGTTAACTGCACTTAGACGTGTATCACAGTGTGAGGAGAAGCAGTCTTTAACTATGGATTTAAAAGTGAGAACTATGGATGAAGATGCAGAAACACATAAACAACTTCACAAACACACACACATTTAAACAAACATACCCAGCATAGCCAGTTTTAGATATAATGTGCAAAAGTTATGTAATGCACATGAAATGAATGCACGAAGCTTTAGTGTTTGCTGTTCTCACATATTTTCAGTATTGAACAACTCTGTACGTGTGCATGCGTCTGTGTGCATAATGTGTGTCTGTCCTGAACGTAGGTGTTGTAATGTGAGGGTGTGACATAGTGACAGAGAGAGAGGGACACTGGTAACACTAAAGTAACAGCGGTGTCCTTTTACTGTTCTAAACTCAGGTCTCATGTCACCACTGTGTTTGGGCGTGCCATTAAAAACACTGAATTGGCACATTAAATGGAATGTTGTCCAGGTTCACATAAAGTCATTGTGTCTTTAATGTCATTCTGATATTGAAAACTTGAGCAGAAACAACTGGGCCATACTCAGATCAGGAGTAAAAATTGAATTTCCCATCATATGTATGAATAATGTATTGGTCATTGGTCAGAGAATATGCAAATAAAGTGCATTTAAGAATTTCTGAGGCCTATTTTCTGACAATTGTGCAGGACATCAAATGTACAGAAATATGAGAGGAGTACTATATATGTACATGTGATATTAATGGAGGGTACTGACTGTATAGACAAAATTAGTCTCTATTCTCTATTACACCCCACCTTTTTACATTCACCTTTAGGCCGACATAAGTTTTCAAGAACGCCTCTGACACAGGCCTCCGGTTTTTTGCCTGATTTAAAGCCCAAAGGTGCAGTCCACTACTCTGAAGTGTTTACTCACCACAGGCATTAAACATAACTGTCAATTAGGAGTGGAAGTCGGAGCTCCTAATGGCCTTGTTTAGGCTGTCGTGTGGACAAGCATTAGCGTCTCTCAGTCTGCGAGAGCGTGTGTGGGTTAGGGTGAGGAGTGTGGAGCGTGTGAGCATTGGCGCAGTCAGTGTACGTGCATCTTTGTGTGTGAGTGTGCGTTTGTGTCAAAATCATGCCCAGCTCGCTCCCCTTGATCATCCAGAGCGGTGAACATTTCACCTGACACCTTTACGAGAGGACAGGACCCGGGACTGGTTTTTAAGGTTCCCCCCGTCCACTTTGAAGTGCGTTATTAAACACACCTGTACCTGATTTGTACGCCGCTCTCTGTCGTCTCTCGCTCTCCCCTGGATGTTAGCAGTGCTCGCAGTTATGGTTCCGTCTTAATGAGTGGATTTACCATGGACAATATGAGAGTAACCGAAAGGGCTGACATTGAAAGGTTCAATGCAAGGGCAGAAAATAGTTTTTACACTACTTTGCTCACATTTATTTGATCTTTATTTAATAAAAACCTGCAAATATGCCATGAAATGTAATTGGAATTGTTGCTTATATCATTGGCTCACATAAACATATGTAAATATAAATTTCTGGTGTTTGTTGTTTCCTGTTTTTTGACAATTTTCTCTCCTTGGATGGTCCAAGGAGTCACCTTTATTAAATACTATTAATTAAGCCTGTGACTGCTCATGAGAGACACAAGTGGAAGCCTGTACACGCAGACTTGCAAATTATATGGAAGTTGGATTCCAGCATCATTTCTTTCTTGTCAAGCATCTGTCACTAATTCATCAATCCCTACTTGTTTTACGTAACATCCCACCGGATTGAATTCTACAATCGTTGTTTGGGGAATAAAATGAACCCGCCGTTGCCATGATGAAAACTTTTGCTGCGTTAACTTCCTGCTGGAGAGGCACACAGGTGTGCGTCAGAGATTAATGTCTGAAGCGTTTTGTAGGAGAGTGCGTTGATGGGAGGATAAAGGATACAAAGAGCTCGTGAATTATCTGCATATGCGAGCTGCTTATTTGATCAGAGATAAGGGGAATGAATCTACTCTCTCTCCGGTCCACACTCACGCGGTGCCTATGAGCCTTCTGCGATACCATCAGTTCAGCTCTCAATGACAACTAGTCCTTAGCGTGGATGAACACATCCTCATTGGTAGGCTATATGATGGGATCATGGCTGCATTTGATATGCAATGCGTGAAATTAAAGAATGTCTAGATAAAGTTAAAATTGGTTGCTCACTCTGAAGCATAGGCTTAGCATGGTGGCCTTTACTCTGCTTCACTGTAGACTTGACTGCTCAGCAAATTGTGTGTTTTACCCTTGAGGAGCAATATCTCGGTGGTGTCAAGGGCAGCCGGGTTTCTTCCCTTAATAGTTTAACGAACATGAGGCAAAGAGCAGGTTCTTCAAAGGGGACAGAAATGCCTCTGTGCAATTGAGACTAATTGTGGCATAAATTCACAATCGTTTCAGAACAGGCATCACAGCTTGAGCTTTGTCATGTGCAATGGACGCCCTGCTCTCATTTTCACCTGCCGTCGCTCTCAATCAAACAAAGAGGTGGGGTGGAAGTTTCTTTTCATCTGTTCAAAGGTGACTGGCTGCTGAGCAATTTTTTTTTGGTGGTCGAAACAATAACTCTTTTTATTGAGAACAAATGTTGACATTTGGAGGGAGCAGCAGCGGGCGAGAGAAAGAAACACAGAGAGAAAGGGAGAGAGAGAGGCAGGGCCCCTGTGTTCTTAGGTAGAGCGCCTCTGGTGCTATTTGACAACAGCGCTGAGTCCCCAGGGGAGCCCACCTGAGAATGAAGCGTGCATTTCAATAAATCAACTCCTAATGAAAGTGTTTGGGGTGAGAAGGAAGAAGAAGCTGGCCTGGGGGCTATGAGGTGCAAAACTTCCATAGGAGGCTGCCAGTGGAGGAAGGGGTAAATAAACAGTATAGGTATAAAATACATCCACTCCAGACAGTGAAGATCAAAAGAACACTGACTTTAAACAAAAAAAAAAAAAATCAATACTACTTTCCAAAAACTCAACCTTAAACGCTTCCATCTCAAAAAGACCCTTTTTTATGCCATTTTCTGACAGCGTGACACCGTTCACTGCAAAGTACACCATGAATCTTTGTCACAAAGACTTCTGTCAACCTAAAAAGGTGGGTTAACCGAGTTTAGAGTGGGTTTACCCTGCCACTATGTACATCCCCTGGTGGCAGTCAAATATTACTTCCATAGGATGAAGCCAGAGTGGTGGTGAGGAGATGGGGGGGGGGGAGTGAAAACCAAGGTGAAAGGGAGTCCCGTGAGATTTGGACAACACTCCAGCTCAAATTCAACTGGAAAATGAAGGATTAGCTTTTAGTCTGGCTGCGAGCGATGATGGAGGCCTCTCCTCTTCTGTGGGAGGGAGGATGGGAATATTATATATTTGATCTCTGGGCATTTCACACTCTGCAAAGGGCCACAGCTGTGAGTGACAAGATGTTGGAACTAATTTAAAAAATGAAAATAATATAATACATTTGTATAATAATATAATAATAATAATAATAATATGTTCATTTCCTTGGACATCATCTTTTTTTCCCCTCCCTAAATTGTTTAATTAGCTGTGTCGTAAAGCTGCTATAATAACCAAGCCATGATGAAAAGCAGAGGAAAGCCTGTCCGATTAGGGCCCATCACACAGCCCATTGGAGCTGGCAGATGCTAAGATAGACTTTTATGGATCGCTCAATGCCGCGCCGTAATGAAGCAGGCAGGGCTGACCCATGCTGAACCGGGCTAAAAAAGCTCCAGGGACGGGCCCCGCTGGGAGCCCGATAATGCCCGATGCGACCCACGGCTGTATTAATCACACTGGAGAAGAAAAATAAATGTGTGGCATTGCAGAACGAAGAGGGAGCGAGAGAGACAGAGGGGTAAAAAAATGAAATAAGTATGTCGTTTATCCCAATCAAGGTCGTGAATGTGCGTCCGAGGGAGAATCTCTGAGCAGAATGAGGCACTAAAAGAAAATGATGGGTCCATTTACGCAGAATGGATCGTGCAATCTGTGGAAACTCATAATGTTTATGAAAAGCGAGATTCATCAGGCATTTCCCATCTGCGTTTGACTGACAAAATAAAAAGAGCAATGAGCAGAGTGAATGAGAAAAAGAGCTCGGTGTTAAATACAGCTCTAAAAATAAAAACTAAAAAGAATGACGCCCCAAGATTGATGTCATGGTTGGGAAAACAGTTTAATATTTTCTCCTTTTTTGAATAATGGATATCATACCCCGCCAGTACATCTATACCATTTTTATTTTATTTACATTCAAAGATATAAATTAGTAAAAGTACTCCTGATAACAAGATTGTGTAGCTTCTTTTCCCAAATGCGTCTCAAATAAAAAGCGTCCATAATATATATATTTACAAAACAAACAGACGATGTCAGCTTCCCATGTTTTTTTTGTTGCAATACAACTTGCATAAATTATTATTCTAGGCATCATTTCGCCACCATTTAAAAAAATAAATATCAAATGTAGGCTATTCCACTTTGAAGTCCTCAAGTTGACTTCAGCTCCGCGCGCCCTGCGTCCCGTGACACCTCCTTACACAAACACGGTTCTCCAAGAAAGGCCAAATTATGTTTAACTTGTTTTATCCACACTTAAATATATACTAACATAATATACTGTGGCAAATAAGCAAACTATAGGAACCTGAGAAATAACATGTAAATCACATACAATGGGAGATCTCTCTTTTTTCAACCTCTCAAAATAATTAAGAAAACAAAACTGAAACATTACAACAACAATAATAATAATAATAATAATCTGACAAATACTGTGTGTTGTGGTGTGTCTCAGCCTGCGTGTGTGGAGCTGAGGAGGCGGAGTAGCAGCGTTCATCCCGACTATGTGGTGGCACTAGATCCGGTTTGGAGCAAAGGTTATGAGGGTTATGACATGAGGCCATAGGTGGTGCCATTCCTCGCTTTATAGTCAAAGCAATTGTGACACCTACCTGCAGAGCATGGAAATAAAACAACAACCCAAAGAAAATCCCCACACGAATACACCTTCGTGATCAACTGTCAGACTGGCTCTGGCCAAGAAAAGAAAAAAAAAACACAGCTCCATGTATTATGCTGTAAGTGCTTATTAGAATCCCCGGTGAAAACGACATGTGCGCATAGCTTTGGATGTGCGTAAAGGAACCGCCGTGATTACCTAAGTGACATTTGAAGATGTAATAAAGTTGGACGATGAACGCACAGAGCAAACTCACTGATCTGTTTGCTTTTGGCTGACCCTGGTGTAATTATAATTATCCCATACGCTGAAAGATAAGGTTTGGGGCCTACTGTGCGCGTGCCGTACGCTCACATGCACGCACACACACACACACACGCGCGCACACATCAGAGGAAACATTAAAAGTAGGATTCCTGCTCAAAGCTGTGGCAACATTTCTGCGCGTGTGTGCGTGCGCGCGCGTGTGTGTGTGTGATTAGCCTGATTCCTTCACGGGCTCATTTCAATGTCCATATATGTTGGTGTCCTCTTGCAACATTTGTTCGCAATATGCTTTTTCTTATTATATCCCTATGGTTTCTCATTGCCTGTTGCATGAAGGTGAAATGAGCTCACTCTTAATGATTGTGTGAGATTCAGAAATGTGCATACAGTTAAAAAATAAGTCATAAACAGATTACTGCAGAAAATGAACTGCACTGAAAAACGAATTATAGGCCATAAACGAAAGTCCTTCTCAATAAGTCGTTTAGTCTCATATCCGGTCCTAAAATCTTATTGGAAAATCTGTAAATAGTGTCTGGTGATGCCACTTGTTTGAAATAAATAAATAAAATAAAACAGACCCAGTCTTCCCAGTTTGTCCCAACAACAAGACAAAGAAAAACCAGTTGATTTGCATTGGAGACAAGTAACTCATTTCATTTTACTTCCACCATGAAGAGATTTCCCCACCAGTGTTTTTTTTTTTCTCTCTTTTCTTTAAGAAAAATACAATCTCAAGTTTCAACACTAGATTAAATAAGTTTTCAAATCACTTATGGGACGTGGGTGCCGCATCATGTTGATTACGTACCTTTCTTTGCCTCTAAATTTGCGGCTCTGAAAAGCTGTTGTTGCTGCTGCTCGACAACAACAATGTGGTTTGGGTTATTTTTAACGAGGGGGGAGTCTGGCCTGTGCTTGGGGTTCGTGCTCGCCTCCAGCGCCTGGTGCGAGGAGCTCAGGCCCTCGTTTGCAGCAGCAGCAGCGGCGGCGGCGGCGGCGGCTGCGGCCAGACTCACTCCAGAAGAATTAGTGTAGCGCAGGATCCCTTGGCCCTGCAGGGGGCTGAAGTTGCCATAGTTTGTGTAATTGCTATAAAAGGGAGAAGTGTAATAAATAGGTCTTCCAAGGATGGAGGGGGCCGGGTAGAGGGAGGGGGAGCTGGCAGCCGGGGAGCTGGTGGAGGACGTGGGGGGAGTGAGGAGGCCCCCGCCGGAGGAGGAGGAGGGGCAGGTCGGTTGCCCTGCAGGCTGCCCCGGTGGCTGCTGCTGCGGATGTTGCTGCTTTTGGTCCGAGGTAGCAATCTCCGCCAGCGACCACAGCTTGGGCTTGGCTGCGGGGTTCTGAGGCGCCCCCGACGGAGCCCGGCTCTCCAGGCACGGGGACGATTTACTGGCGCTGGTGCTCCTGCTGTTGACGAGGCTCCGAGCCAGATCCTCCCGCTGGCTGTGGAGGTGGTGGAGGTGATGCAGGTGGTGGTGGAGATGGTGTTGGTGGTGGTGACCGAGAACCGGCGCCTCCACTCCCGTGAGCGGAGACGACGTGACGGCCTTGGGCGAGAGCTGAGCCCGCGGGTCGTGGTTCTGGTCCTCGCCGTCGTCGTCGCACTTGTCGCCGGCTTGGTCGGAGCTCAGCTCGGCCACGCGACAACTGACCTTCTCCCCGTCAGACTCCGAGGGGCAGGAGTGGTCCGTCAGAGTGTCGACGTGCAAACTGATTCCTGTGAATAAAAGAGGAAATGTATTATTTATATAATACTAACGTAAATATATAGGCCTAATTACAGAAAACCTTAAAACTATAAAGAACATCTAAAATGAAACTGTGAAAAATAAAACATATCCAAATAATACAGATCATTTATAATATTCCAAAATATAAACAAAGTCACAAGGTGACAATTTCTAATATAAATATATAAAGAACATGAAAACGAAAATTGTTGTCAAATTAAATTCCATAACCACATTAGTCAAATCACTGTTTGACAACCAACGAGACTTTAACAAGTGAAACATTCATTCATTATATCAGCTTGTTAAAATTAACAAACGATTAAAAGATATTGTTTTATGATAACAGCAATGCTAATAATCGATCAATTATATATAATCCATTTTTCATAATCGTACAAAAATGTAATCAATGGGAACCATTCATTATCTGATTATATAGAGGTGACTGTAATGTCATGAGTAATTTACAAGTGACCTGACATTAATCATGTTAAATAAAACATTATATAATCAATATGCATGCAAGAACAATACATGTCTTCCGTTAAAATAAACCCAAACTATTCCTTATAGAATTTAATTCAGTTATATATTATATATTTCTTTAGGATATTATAATCTTTTGCATTAAATAAGTTGAGCAGTAAATAAAAGGGGGTATCCACCCCCCCTCCCCTCCCCTCCCTTTTACCCCCCGTCCTTGCTGCCCTGAATTGTTCAATGGATCGTGGCTCGGTCTCCAGACTGTACCTTCATCCTCCGCCGACGCCTCGCTGTTGTCCAGGTTCTTCTCGGAGCGCTCCACCTCCTTCCTCTCCCCGTCCCCGTCCTCCTCGTCCTCGTCCTCGCTCTTATTCCTGGGCGCCCAGGTCATCTTGTTCTCCTTCTTGAGCCTCCGCCGGGCGTTGGCGAACCACGTGGAGACCTGCGTCAGGGTCATCTTGGTGATAATGGCCAGCATGATCTTTTCCCCTTTGGTCGGGTACGGGTTCTTCCTGTGCTCCTGCAGCCAGGCCTTCAGGGTGGCCGTGGCGTCCCTGGTGGCGTTCTTGCGGTAAGCCGGGTCGTTGAGCTGGTATGGGTACCCGGGGCTCCCGTATGGGTGGTAACTCAGCGCCCCCGCCATGCCCGTCGTGTGTGCGTCATATGGAGAGCTCTGGGGAAAAGTTGTCATTTTATAAAACTCACAATTCCTCCATGTGCTTTTCTGTTGTTGTTTTAAAAATTGTATTAGCCTTTAAGATTGTTATAAAACGTGACAATGTTATATATTTTTTTGGGCTTATTTAAAAAGCAACGTCGTATAATTAAAATGAATATGAATGCATAGATCCAATTTACAGTACAGGCAAAATCTGTTGAAATTATTAAAAACATAATTTGTATTATTCGACGTGTGTGAAGAATTATATAAATCCAGACTTTTTATTTTGTATCTAGATAATATGTGTGAGCTTAATTGGCAGCTCACGAAGTGCACATTATATAAGCTCTATAAATGACATTGATCATCAGTCAACTTAAATAAACATCTGTAATTGCAGGCTTAGTGAACGCACCGTATGTAAGAACAGGCCGCAGGAAGCCATGAACTAATGGTTAACTAATAGTAAAGATCATTATCAGATTAACTAATAACAGGGGCTCTCCTCGTTGTAGCTGTTGAGATAATAAAAAAGGTGAATATATTTTCTGTAATCACTCATTAACAATTTCCTTTCTCTGATATGGTTTTTGGTTTTGTTGTGGCTGCCACAGTGTGTTAACACATCTTCTCTCCGCAGCATAACAAATCCCATTAGCAAATCACTTGATGTGCACCTTTTTCCTCCTGAAACGCTTGAAGTGGCCCTGTGACATTAAGCATTAATGCGACTCCTGCTTTTCAGTTTTTTAGTTTGCTCATCTAAAGTCCCCTTGGTGATTTTTATTTAACGCCTGGTGAAGAACAGAGAGTTTTGGAGCGAAATGACGCGTTGGCTGAGTTCACCTAAGAGTTCAAATAAAAACCTGAGAGCACTTTTGCGTAATTAGCGGCGCAGCGAGTGTTAAGCGCTGCTCGAGCCTTTGCAGTTTGCAGCTCATGCTTTAAAATTCCAATTTAAGCCAAAGGGGTCAGGGATTTTAAAGCTGGGAACCAGACGAGCAGGCCGGTGGATATGATCGTGTCAGTAAGAAAGTTCCGCAAACACTTTCCTGATTAGTGAGTCACTACAAAAACATTGTAAATCCGCAGCGATTGACGCGTCGTGCGCTTGGAGAAGACGAACCATTCTGTGCATTGACAGACTTTAACACAACCACACACTGTCCCTGCGGTGGAGCACGAACACACACGATTAAACAAAATTGATAAAATATATATTTACCATGTAGGATGGGAAGCCCGTCGTCGGATCCGTGGAGTATGACAGCGGACTGGAGAAGCCTGCGCCGGCCGACGCGGAGAAAGCAGCCGATCCAGGGTAAGGGCTGAAGGCTGAGCCGGAGGAAGACCGCGCTAGGTCTTCGCTCCGCGGGGCAGCCAGAGCCGAGGCCCCGTACGCCGGACACGAATAAAGAGCCAGAGAGCCCGGGGGCTGGTAGAGGTAACCCTGAGGATAGGACATTGGTGCGCTGCAGTGTGGGGTCGCCGATTCCAAAAAGGGGAGGATAAAAAAAAGACGCACAAGGGCGACGGGCAACAGCAGCCAAAATAATAAACAATCAACTCAATAATCAGCCGTGCAAACAGTCATCAGACAATGGACATAAAAAAGTCCTCCCTCCTCAGCCCCCTTACTGGGAAAAAAACCCCCGAAAGATCTGTTAAAGTGCCCACATAGAGGCGATGTGGCTCGCGTCTTGATCCCCTAGCGTCCGATGTTTTTAGTACGCAGCACTGTGAAGTGAGGAGTTAGGGAGGAAGGAGCCAGTGGAGTTTCAGACACACAGAGCATTGGGGGAAACTGGAGCTGTCACTCCGGCTCATCTGAATATCCCATTCCCGCCCCCTTTCTGCCTCACAGACATGGAGCCGCGGAACAAAACCGAGGCTGCACACTGCAAAAAGTGGAGTCTGTCCATCTCTCCAAGATTCCTTCAGTTTAGTGATTAAAAAAATAATACTTACGTCACATAATCTACGAACTGAACGAGACAGGGCTGTACTTGTTGTTAAAGAAAAGTGATTATAGAGCAATTCATTATGTGACTTATAGTTTTCATTTTGTTTCTGGCAAAACTGCATCAGAAATTAAAATTGAGTCATTTTAATATGTGGTATTGTTTCAATCAGTGCACAAGTAAATTATTTTAAATGATGATTATTCACAGCACGCTATAAGACATAACTCCCCTTGTTTTAGTCATTCTTTTTTTTTTTACAGCCAAGACATTTACTTGGATTATTCTAAGGTCAAGTTTATTATGAGAATGAAGCTTGATGCTTTACAATCCCACAATGTGCATGAGGGGAGAGATTGGCAGAGGGAGAGTAAAATGACCAGTTCTCTCCTCTGGTTATTTTGTCACCAGCTTTTTTTTTTTAAAACGCCGACACATCCATGGAAGCGTGCGCGCTCCTCGGGCAGTGCGCGCTCCGGCCTGTGGGAGGCGTTGACGGCTCCTTAATTTCCACTTAGCTCAACCCTTTATTATTACAATTACATTCACCGGCAATAATAAAGCTGTTGCAGGTTTACGGAGGGGGGGTCTCTCCTCCATATAGCCTGCAGATAACCAACCACCAGCGCTGTTCAAGTGTGTGTGTGTGTGTGTGTGTGTGTGTGTGTGTGTGTGTGTGTGTGTGTGTGTGTGTGTGTGTGTGTGTGTGTGTGTGTGTGTGTGTGTG